GCTTTTAAAAGCGTCAGACTCTGACGCTTTCAAAAGCGTCAACTAAAAACGTTTTTTACGCCATCCTGACCGCGTCAGGAAAACAGATCCCTACTGTTTGGCCAAAACCGTTTGGCCACCACCTGAAGCGGCCAGGATACGCGTAAAAATAGCCGCCATCTCAGGCGGCAATCTGAAATTTTTGCTGGGAAGGCAAGGAGGAAAAAATGCCTTCTGGAGAAATCATCCACACTGTCAGACCAGAATATTCGGAGCATTCCATAGAAATCAAGCACGCGGAAGGAAGAAGCTGACAAGAAAATCTGCGACATTCAATGCACTCCGCTGTACAACCAGTGATTCGAACAGTGGGGGAAAAAATAAAACGACGTCTATTGGCAGATGTAACTTTCACATGAACTCAGTTTTCCATACATCCACAAGCAAGTGTCCAAGCCACTTGTAACCACAATCCTCGGAAATACAGAGAGCGGAAAAGATCAAAACAGCTTGAACAGCAAAGTTTTCCCAACATATTTGCTCAATTCCTAAGCATGACAACATGCTGATTTACATGCTATTCAACCCCCAATACTCAGAAAGTTTTTGGGAGTCATGAGAATGAATAATAATTTGTGTCAAAGAAAGCGAGTATATTTCAGAAAAAGAGGGAAAATCATGGCAAGTTGAGGAAAACAGCAAGTTTTCGGCGCCTGAGAACAAAGAAGGAAAACGTAGGGCTTTTCTGGGAATAGGACTGATGGAAGGCCTCTGGGAAAATTGAGAAAATTGATGCCATGTTATGGACAGCAGCGATAAATGTCTAAAAATGATTCAGATGCAGGAAGCACTTCTTGCATCCGAAAAAAATGCATGTCACTTCTGTCTCTTCGATTAGCAGAATCGAAGTAAAATATTTGCCTCGAACAGTGGTTGTCTCGGGAACCCACCAAATTCCCCATTTCTTTCCTAGAGCTCATCTGAACACTCGTATCTGAGATGATGCCAAAACTTCCTTCCCAATGCCCAAATATCTTCATAATTATAGACATTCTCGAATACAGACATTCTTGTGGGTCTGTTAGCGCGTGGATCACTCATAAATACATGCTTTTCAGGTCTTAAGAGCATCAAAATCCGCCTACAACTGACCTCACCAGTCCACTAACTTGAAGCAAGCACATTGAACAACGTCGCGTCATCTGCGTCCATAGCAACAGTCGCTATAACCTCATATTACATCTCGCAGTGAGGATAGTAGATATTAGAAGAAACAGCGAAGATACACAGACGAAGAAGAATGCCCGACACGAGGTCCACGGCAATCCTTTTTAATCCGGCTTGCTCTAGAAATTCTTAGTTAGCAAGTACCAGGGATTGAGCTGCGCAAAGTTCACTCATCGAAGAGTGAACCAAACATCCCTCCCGCTAAACGACCGCTACACAGTCAACCCTATCTTTCACAGACATATCGAAGCAAAAATTTAAACCTAGCCGCTTTTTTCCCCGGGGCTAAAATTGCAATGCCGGCCGAATCCCTTTTCCCTGCCCATCGACAATGGTCCAATGTTACGAAATAGCGACGATCGTATCGAATGCATAGGAGCTCGGAACGACAGATATCTTGCTTGGCGAAACTGACAGCCACACACAGCAATCAAAGAACAACGGAGAACGTATGGATATGTCTCAAAAACTTCAATCGGGAATTAGCGCCAATTGCAAGGTGTTCACACCATAAGCGTCAAATTCAAAAATCAATCATCTCTGTCAATGTTTCCTCAGCTCCCCGTAAAAGCACCCACAAGTTTTCCAGGATAATTGTCCTCTACTACAGTGCAGATTTCTCCGGAATATTCGGGATTTCGCCAGAAAATTTGGCAAGTATTCAGTAGTAAGTTTCATTTTCTACCCAGCCTCCTGGACATCTGCGAATGATGTAGCGTCTAACTTCGTCGTAAATGAAAATCATCAAGGAAAAGGGCATCGCGGGAATCCACCAATTGAATCTGCGAATAAAAATGCGGAAAAATAGCTCATAATATGCGTGAATCAAATTTTAGTTTTGAAAATCTTACTTCAATGGGTACATCCTCAAGCCTTTGTCCATTCCAGGAGTGTATGAAAGAAAGGCTGCGAGAAGGGTTTCAAAGCACAGTCCGAAGTTCAGCACCCAGTTCCTGAAAGCAGGTTTCAAAAAACGGCAACATTAAACGAAAATGCAATAAAATCTAGGAATGAAAACATAGAAAAATTAGAATTCCGGTAATCAAGATTGCAGTTAAGCATCATGGCATTGATGTGTACATGGATTACAATGCTGGCACGAACAGTACGATTATCCCGGGAGAATAAATTGTCACCCTTTGTCTCGGCACAGTTGTTGGTACTGAGTAAGACTGGCTATGAAACGACAGTACTTTAATGCCACATCATATTGCCGTCATCTGTCTCAGTGCTCTACTGATCTACATAAACTGTGAATTCCCCTGCATAATGAAGCAATGATGAACTTCGTAATTTCGAATACATGAGCGCTACATCTAAACTGATAGTTCTGCGTGACTTCGCAACCCTTCGTGGTCAGATGACGCTGCAAAAATTAGTCACAACGGCAACTCACTTCATTCCCTGATGAAGAATAGAATTTCGACGGGTTTTACAAATGATCAAATCCGCCCATTGAACGACGACGATCGACACGAAGAAGGCTGTGTGGCAAGTGAATTCCAACACCTTCCGGTCATGATACGTCCATTCTTGACCATAGGAATCTTTCACGTCATTGATGGCCTTCGAGTCCCAGGCTTTGCGCAATCCCAGCAACGTCATCGGCCTAAAGCCATTTTCCGCCATGATGACGAAGTATACGAAAAATCCAGCTCCTGCCTGAATCATCCCAATTTGACCGTAAGCCATGGAAATTAGCCTGGAAATTCAAAAATACCGCCAGGTCATGTTACCGGAAGCAATCCTGTGCAAAATAAAATGACGATAGCTTTATCAATTTTCGAATTTATTACTACAGTACCTTAACAACAAAGCGTCTTTCTCGTTTCATCAGAGCAATATTCGACCTGTTTATAGTGGTTTGAAATCCATTCAAAATCCTTTCAACCTCAATGAAATGATCATACCAACGTTTTGGATAGAGTGCAGTACATGCTGTTGATGCCGTGGGATTGATGATAAAACAGGAAGTGAGCATCTAACAAAAAAAAAATTGTTTCTTCGGGTGAATCAGTTGATGATCAAGAAAAAAACCGAACCAGTGGATACAAGACAAATCGCCACGGATAAACTTATTCGCACCAAAAGGCTAATGATAACGTTCTGTGTCGGGAAAAGGTAACACTGTTCATGCAATGTCCAAGGAACCCACACTGTACAGTATATAAGGGAGAAACCAAAACCATACAAGTTTTCATTTGAAAACTGTATGTTTTTTTATGAGCTTTTACAGAGCTCCCAAAAGGTGTGGGCGGAAATGGGGTAGATGATGCAAGCACAAGACGAATATTGTTTTCGCCCTGAAATTTTCGGGCCATGCTCACTGGTAATTACTGATATACAGGGAAGCCATGCTTATTTTACGAGACTTCATTTTCACGGTAATGCGTAGCAAAGTTAGAGCAATTGATCGTGAACTGAGGCCATGGGATCAGCGTATGCTAACCTTTCGTTGACCAACTTGTCAGTAAATGGGTTCCTCGGTTGTCTCTTCATGATGTCTGACTCCGCTTCCTCATAAGCCAAGGAAATTGCAGGCACCATGTCAGTTCCCAAATCGATGCACAGGATCGTGACAGTGCCAAGGGGCAACGGTACATCAGCTAGGATGAAAAGCAGGAACGGTGAAATTTCTGGAATATTCGAGGTGAGTGTATAAGCGATGGATTTCTTCAAGTTGTCAAAAATCAATCGCCCCTCCTCCACGCCCGTGACAATGGATGCGAAATTGTCGTCAAGCAGGATCATGTCAGCAGCCTGCTTCGATACGTCCGAACCGGCAATGCCCATTGCGACCCCTGCGAACGTCAACATTCCATATTGTACGTTTCGGGTCAACCCTCGTCTGTATATAGAGTACAACGGGATGCTGTACTGTTTCCCAAGTCCCAACCGACCCTTTAGTTAGCATAAAAAAAGCTGTGACCTCCCAGAAGGACGGTCTGGAATCCCGAAACATGTGCTATGGATTTAAAGTTCATGAGTGAGCCAGTCTACCCTGTAATGAATTGTTCCTTATCCATTTATTTTGGCATTATACTCGTCCTAGCATCGGTAATTAAAATAGGAAATTTAGTTGATTAAGACCAATTTTGGTAAATGTGATTCCTTTCGTAAAAATATGGGGAAGCGATTGACTTGCAATAATCATGAAATCCGCCAACGATTTCGTAGGCAGAGACACGCAAAAATGACTGATTTGAGGATTTGCTTTGTGCTTCATACAGTATATTTGTCCGTGATTCCGGAAACATGCTTAAAAATTATTTTTGCATTAACCGCATGAACTGGAGACGGAAACTGTTATCTACAGTCAATTGAGTCAATTACAGACATTATATACAGCTACTATTGAATTTTAGGTCCGTGAATCGAAGGAAAGAATCGAGAAAAAAAGCTGTGACGAAAAATACGAAATACATTGGAACCGCTGTTCGCTTTCTTAAAGGAACGGACCAAAATGCCAAAAGACAGGCTTTCTTATTCAACTTCAGGTTTTGATTAGAATAAGGATCGGTTGAATGACTTCGATGAAATACCTCGAGTAACTTCCGTTTCATCTACATGCATTAATGAAGCCGTCGTCCTTTTATTACGTGAGATAACCTCTGGTGCTGGGGCACTCAATTTTTTGCTGGAATTTGTTGGGGAAAACCCGGCCGATGGTCGTTTTCATTGGCATTTACAGTTGTATTAATAAATTCTTAACGTGCTACCCGATTGGCTCACAGCAGGGTTTAACTGAAGGTAAATCCCACTAACAATGACCATTTTCAAAATTCGAGGCATTTCGGGGAATAACTCGGAAAACAAGAAGTCGTTGAAAAGCAGCGCATGACTATCTTGAACGATTGTCCCAGAAAAAAAAAGTGTCGCACCGATGTCGGCTCGTTTCAAAGCCGGAGAGTCGTTGACGCCGTCACCGGTGACGGCAACTATTGCACCAAGACGTTGACACCCTTCGACGATAATGAGCTTCTGCTGAGGAGAAGTGCGCGCGAAAACGATTTCCGGGTGATTTCTCAAGATGTCATCCAGCTCGTCAGATGAAAGATCTCGGAGGTCTTGACCATGCACAACGCAGGCTGTCGCGTCGTCCACATTGACTTCTTCCAAGGGGATTTTTTTCCGTTCGGAAATGTCCTCACGCGTTTCACTCCCTGACACAAGAACACAAAACAGATGAGATGAACAACTCCCTTCAAACGTGTATACTGAAAAACGTGGAGCATCGGTGGGTTCAAAGTTCAACGATCACAACTTCAGTATTGATTTTTTCTGGAACGTCGAAATTTTGACACCAATCTCGGTGATCATGACCGAAACTTTCTTATCACTTCACGAAACTAAATCGAATTTGCTTGAGCTCTCCCAGTACTTATAAAGCGATCGAAATAAATTTCGAAATGATTTTCTGAAAAAGTACTGTATATATCCTTATTGTCAACTCCCACTAAAAGTATAATGTTGTCAAAAACCATTTTCTACTTTCTTCTGGGCTTACCGATCACATATCTTCAGAATATGCTGAAGATTGTAGTGTTATTCGTCATGGCTTTACAGTTGTGTGAGTTGTGGTCCTTTGCCTTGCAAACAGAGACTTGAGTCTTATTGTCTTCAAATTCAACCAGATGACCCTCTCTCCTCTTATTCATTCATCAGTTTACTCCAAATTTCAGAAAATCGTAATCTTTGGAAACAGATAATCTTGCTCAATGGCTACTCTGAAGTAAGTTTCGACTACTGAAGAACACTGGGGTGTTAATCCTCTTTTCTTGCACTTGAACGCCAATATGTCATGCTAAAATAAATTGATGAATACAATCTTGCTATTTAAACTCGATACGTACCGTCAGAAATGATGCCAACGGATTTTGCAATGGCTTTAGCAGTGATGGGATGATCTCCTGTAACCATGATCACCTTTATGCCTGCGGAACGACATTTGCTGACAGCTTCGGGTACATTTGGTCGAGGCGGATCGATCATTGACATGAGACCCACAAAACGGAGTCCTTCCAGCGGAAAATTCTGATTTTCGGCGTCGAATGGATAATTCGGGGGATACGTGTCCTCTGGCAACTTGTAATCGCAGAATCCTGAAAAAAAATTTCAACGGATAGAATAGCTGATTTTAAAAAGACTCTTTGTGATTAATACCAAGTACACGCTCGCCCAAACTGCCCAAATCAAGGTAGGCTTTTTGGAAAGAGTCCTTCAATGTGTCGTCAAGATCGACGTCTTTCCCGTTGATAAGAATCGTGGAGCAACGTTCTAAAATCCGCTCCGGGGCTCCCTTCATAGCAAGCAAGTAGGAGTTGTCAGAAGCGTCCTCTGTCTCGTGGATGCTGACTTGATATTTGTTCGTGGAATTGAACGGAATTTCGCAGACTTTCTTGTGCCGCTGTCGGTATTTAGCGACGTCTCCCATTGTTGACTCCACACATTTCAGCAATGCCGCTTCCGACGCATCCCCGTTCACCTCACTAGAAAAGAGGAAAACTGGTACAAACAAACTTTCTAGCTGAGGCAAACAAGAAAAATCGTGTATTTCGAAAGGCTTTTTGGTTTAAAAGAATGAGTTTCCCTCATTTAACGAGTCCATTACCACTCTTGGTGATGAAAGATGCATTGTCAGACGTAGGGGCAGTAACAGCAGAAGAGAAAACTTGGAAGGATACAAAGAGGAATACACCGCAAATTATCTGCAACAGGGTTTTCTTGCTTTAAATTCAGATAAACTCGCATACTATTCTTCCGAATTTCCCAGCAATCTCGTCCATCAAATGAATTCTTTCAATGATTAGGAAAATTTCTGAAATCAAGTTTCGGAAATCAGCACTTCATTCATCTCCGAATTTTTGAAAAGGGAATTCCGACTCAAATGAAATCATTGGTAAGATTATTAATGGTTTAAAGCATGAACAACCGTAGAAATTCTTTGGTTCTTCGATTTTAACACGTTTTTATTAACTTGCTTTCTTGTCCATTTGTTTGTCCGGATCAAATTTTGCAACTCAAATTTTGCTCACTTCCAGTGGTTTTTTAGATTAATTTTTTAATCTACTAAATTTTTTCCAACTGATTCATTTACTCTGAGACTTTCTGTGCTACATTAATTTTAATCATTGGACGAATCAATTTTGCCTGATATGGAACTGGGTGAACTTGGGAATGCATTAGTTTTCTTCAAAGATTAACAGTGACCATTTGCATAAAATTCGGCAGGTTCGAAGAAAATGCTGATTACGTTCCTCCAAATCTCTTTCAAATGGTCAATTTTCATTGATGGTGGCTATTTTGAAAAAGTTCGGCTATTCTCCCGAGATGTGGTTCGAAAATCACAAAATACTTGCGTTGACATTTTTCTCCGCATGCCACAAGATTTTGAAAAACTTAGACTAAAAAAATTATATTAATCTTTCAACTCTTGAACAGTTGATAGAAATTCTTCGAGCGTTCGTCTACATGAATAATTGTATTACTCATACTGCTGAATTTTTGGAGCGCAGGTCAATTTGGTACCAATAATTTGGTACAAGTTTTATTTTGTACAGTGACTTTGGTACAGTTGTTCTTGGATCATGGACATTTTTTACGTGTCAAGTATCGTACAGCTAACATTTTGGATCTTTTATTTTTGGGTACATGGTGATTTGGTACAAACAAAATTGGGACACAGTGATTTAGTACATGTAAACTTGATACGATATAATTTGCGATTGTTGGTCTCAATGAAACTGAGAATCCATTAGTTTTCTTCGAAGATTAGTAGAAACCATATCCATAAATTTCAGCTAGTTCAAAGAAAATGCTGCTGTACTTTCCTTCATATCTCGTTCAAATGATCAATTTTCATAGATAACGGCGACTTTGAAAAAGTTTCGAGGATCTTTCGAGCTGCGACTCGAATATCGCAAAATTCGTGGGTTAACCTTTTTCTCAACATGCCCCACATTTTTAAATTATAAATTTAGACTAAGAGGAGGTTAATAATCTTTCGACTCCTGAGCAGTCGGTAGAAAGTCTTCGAGCGGTCGTCTCTTAGAATAATTGTGTGACCTACCGCTGCATAATTGGTCGGCTCTCCTGATTCGCTTTGAATTCTGCTCGATTGCACAAAGCAGCCACCCGTGACAAACACCGCCAGCCCATGGTGCCCTTGTCGAACTGGGGCCCGGATTGATCTTCCGTTGTGTCGGCAGCGATGATCTGGTCGTCGTACCACATGTGTGCTACAGTCATTCGGTTCTGAGTTAGGGTTCCTGTCTTGTCCGAGCAAATAGTCGAAGTAGATCCCAGCGTTTCCACTGCTTCCAAGTTCTTCACTAGGCAGTTCTTAGAAGCCATCCTCTTCGCAGTCAATGTCAAGCAGACCTGAAATAAATTTTCGTTGAAATCACTGATATCGTTTTCTTTATCTTATATCTACTATCAGCCCCTTTGATTATTCCGAGGGTCTGATTTTCAAATCAAGGAATTTTAACGTTGAAATATGACTGCATGAGTGACGAACCGTGACGGTGGCAAGTAATCCTTCAGGAACATTGGCAACGATAATTCCGATGAGGAAAATTACTGCATCGAGCCAATGATAACCCAAGATGAAGGCGATAAGGAAGAACGTAACACCTAGAAATACAGCGACACCTGTGATGATGTGAATGAAATGTGCAATTTCCTTTGCTATTGGCGTTTCTCCAGTCTCCAGGCCCGATGCAAGGCCAGCGATTCGGCCCATGACAGTGTTGTCACCCGTTTGGACGACCAAACCCTTACAAGTTCCTGTAAATATTTTCACCTCTTGAAATTTTCAGATTGTCGAAAAAATGAGGACAATGCATGCATCGGAAAGTGAGGATTGAAATTAATGCTGTCCGAGAAGCAGAGTAACAAAACCAGAAGAGAACAAAAGCATTTTGTCTATGAGAAATTAAATTTTTTCTGGGATAAAATAACACGCTGTAAAAAAAGCTCTTTTCGAAATACTGTACTATTCGAGAATACTTTTCCAAAGCCACGCTGATGGCAGTACCGAACGCGTAAAAATAAAGTTAGATAAAGTGATATTTTAGTTGTTTGAATTCGCTTTTTAATTACTGTACGTTCAATTCAACGAATGTATTTATATTGCAATGAGTGAGTTAAAAATAATTACTCAGAGGGAAATTCGACACTTGTTTTCATGCGAGGATCTTCTTAGTTCCACACATCTTGTGTTTCGTTTCGCAATTACTCTGTTAATTGAATATACTTTACATAATTCAATGTGATATCTCAGGGATTGCTGCAATTTATAAAATTCTCCCAGATTTATTAGCCAGGATAGCGAAAGGATACGAAACAGTAATTCAGATGGCAAAATAATACTGCTTCCTTCTAATTTTTAGCGTCACCGTGGTAAAAATGCAAACCATATGTATGGAACCATTCAGAAAATAATCTAGACTTTCATTTAATAAATAGCATTACTGTACTATTGTCCGAGGAGAACTATTGTGTTGCTCAAAACCATTCAGGATTTCGGGATTCACGACAGTTCAAAAATGGTATTTTCCTATCCGTGTACATCAATACTTAGTCTGCATATCACAGCGGCGAAATTGCATCGAGAATATCGTTGTGAAGAAGATCTTCATAGAGGAAATCCACGTACTTTAATTTTGATAAAACCTCCTTACAAAAAAGAAACCTGCTGACAATAAGATGTCACTGAAAGCTGTCCACTATATACCAAGAATTGTATCAGCCCCGTTCTCAGGCAGTGCATTGAGTTCGAGGATATATCATGACCTTAACAAATGCATCAATCTACCTTCGACGGCGTTCGTGGAAAAGAAGGCCAGATTGCGGGTTTCCAATGGATTCTCGTTGGTGAAATCCGGGGACCGCGATTGTGGTTCAGATTCTCCCGTCAGCGAGGAGTTGTCCACTTTGAATCCACGGGACTCGATAACCCGCAGATCTGCTGGGATCCGATCCCCGAACTTCACTTCCACAACGTCACCCATGACCAGCTCCTCAGCCCTCATTGTTATTTTCTGCCCATCCCTCAGTACCAAGGCGTACTGGAGATTTAAAAAAATGAAACACTTTCAATTCCAACGTAAAAAATTACCAGAGAAATATAGCGAGAAAATTATACACTCGGGAACATTGTTCTGCAAAGAGGAAAAGGAGAAGTTACCTTAAGAAGTGATTTCTCCTCAAGTGTTTTTAAACGATACGAATAATTGAGAGTATGCTCAGTTGACATTACAAATAATGAAAGAAATACAATAAAGAGGAATTTCTGGCTTCCGCGCGGAGTACAGCATTGTTTGAAGTCTAAATGGAAACCTAAACTTATGTTGAAATAAAATCTAGCAAAAAATATGTAATATTCTGCAATAAAGAAAAACATATTCCAATCGATTTTTCAAATTTCATGAAAGCCAGAAGGTGAAGGAGAAATAGTCAGACACCTTCCTACCCGTCAACTTTTTTGTCAATGCTTGAATTTAATTTTACTATCTTTGAGGGTATTTAAGCTACTTAATCACTCGAGTAATCACCATGATCCTTTTTAGAGCAGCCAGCATGTATCAAGTGTTTTAATAAATTTTACGCATTTCTTAAAGTCATTGAATTTCTTATAGCGAGAAAGCATTCCTCCTGGGTCAACGTGTAACCCGGACATCTCTCTCGTATTATTTTTTGTAAATTCGAAAAACTCATATTAGTACAACAATGAATACCTGTGGAACCATGTTCTTGAAGGAATCCATAATTTTTGAGCTTTTAGCCTCTTGGTAGTACGAAAAGACACCGGTAACGATCACGACGGCAGCCAGCACGACACCCAAATATAACTGCAAAGAACGTCGGATCACATCACATGAGATCTTATCTTGTGTAGAGATCACTGACGAGCATGGCAGGGACGAGAGAGGGGGAGCAATTTCTTCACATTTGTTCTTCAGAACATTATCAACATCCAATATTAGCAGTGACCAAGAGGATCTCCAGTGAATCGGAGACGGTCTATGCGACGGCTTGCTGAGAAGTTCGTACGACATCGCGAAAAGAAACATACGGCAGTACGGTACTGAAATAATTTTAAGGGTCAATTTTTCTACATATCAGCCTTTTCAAGCTCAGCGAGAACTTCATCTTTTCAAGTTTGTTATCCCAAGTCATAGAATGTTCTCCCAAAATAAAATATATCTAAATCCTATGTATCTTCAAATTCGAAAATTTAACTTTCTTTATATTCCATTCGGATAACATTAATGTTAGAGAATATAAGATTCTTATGGACTGGGCTGTGTTAAGGAATTCGTACTTCTCATTTACAAAAGAAAATTTTTTTTTTCCTGACAACACGCTCAACAGATTCCAGACTGACAATGACTTCAGCAGGAGTGTCCAGACACTCCTTTATAGATTTGGGCCTTGTTTGCAAGGCTTAGGAGCACTTATGAATGAAATGGAATCCAAATGGCCAAAAGGTAAACTAACAATGACCGAACACAATTACAGCTTGGTTCTCCATGCTACATGGTTGCTAAGCAAATCTGAAGGTGCATCTGAAATTATGCACAAGAACAGGGTCTTCTTTTCCTGTTTTGGGTTACTCACAGAATATGATGATGACAAGTTTTTATAGGCCACCTGCAATTATAGGCTGAAAGTGTATGCTTTAGTTACCATTTGAGAGAAGAAACAATGGGCTGCAATGAAAGGAAAAGTCCAGCAAATATACACAAAAACAGTTGCACTAGATGCCTGGAGGGTTACAAAATTTCGTTTTGACTGGATTTTAATTAATTCAATTATTAAATTTGTAGATGAAAGAAAACAGTATTGGTGAATCAGCACGGGAAAAATCTCCATCTTGAATTTCGATTTTACTATGCTTCATTTATTCCAGACTTGAAATCTTTCCGATCACTTGATCTGAAGTAAATTAGCCTTCAAAGGAATACTCGTCCACGGAAACTTCAACTCGATTATTATGGATCGCATTCCTCAATATCAGGACTTTCATTTGCAGAAAATACTTCCCACGTTCTCAGAAATTCAGATTCTGTGAGTACGTCGAGATGCATTAGACAAGGGACATACATCGATGTCCCGCCGATGATTATGCTTTACGATCACTTCATCTGAAGTAAATTAGCCTTCGAAGAAATACTCGTCCACGAAAACTTTAACTCCGTTATTATGGATCGCATTCCTCAATGTCAGGACCATCATTCCCAGAAAATACTTTTCACAATCTGAGAAATATGGATTCTCTGAGTACGCCGAGATGCCCTAGCTTAAGAACAAACAATTACATCGATGTCACGCAGAATGATTATGCGAATTAAGATACCATCAATATGAATTTTACACAAGAGGGGGAATAATCGCCTTGGTTGCTGAAGCCGACCTTTCTGTCAACGCATCAGGTCAGTGAAGTCCGACCGCTGATATGAAAGCACAGTCGTGGCAAACTTCGCAATTAGCCCGGGTTTAACTCACTCGTGCCACTAAACTCTTGAAACTCTTCATAATTCTAGGCTATTTATTTTTCTGGTTGTTGGGAACGAGTCCCATGATGAGGACGACTGCCAGTGTTACTATTCCGAGATACAATTGAGAAGGGAGCAAAGCAAGAAATACGGTTCCACACGAGTGAGCATGTATCGCACATCATCCAGTCCACGATTCTGCTTTTGACATAACGAAAAAATGAATTGAGACGATGGCCAAGATTAATCTAACCGGTGATGCCAATTTCAGAAGATCTCCGCTTTTTCCTTTCGTTCATTGCCAAAAAGAGGAGTGAAAAGACCCCGGAATAGTGGATAACGGGAAGTGAGTTGACGGCTTTTTCTGGTGATGTTATGCACCTTCAATCGCGTTTAATTTGTCGAGTCTTAAACAATGTAACTTCAGTTTGCTCTTGAATTTGAGAAAACATAATACGCCTGTAACTTGGAATTAAATATGATTTCGGCTACCTTACAGTATGAATTATTGGTCTCATTCTTACAGCTCACCTAAAGTGGCCTGGCTTTAAACGACTGTATTCATTGGATATTATTTTTAAATCGAGATATCCAGGGCATGGATTTTTGGATAACTGAAATGCATTTCTGTTGACAGCTTTTGAATTATGTCATTTTTTTCTGTGGAGCTGCTGTTATTTTAATTTGATATACCCTGAATCATTGCTGACGGAAAACTGTTTGATTTTATTATTTATTGGAATTTTCTATCGATCTTTGGATTGTTGCTTTGGTGCAATTTTAGCCTGAATGTGGAGAGAATATATTAGTCTCACTAAAAATGTCAATTGAGAAAGTTGTCTTTCATTTTCTGAAGTGTCACATCGTATACATTGTTGAGTTCTCTCAAGAGAATTTTCTACGTATATCACCTATGCGCCACGTGATTGCTCCAGCACTTCAATTGCCTTCCAATACGAAGAAAATATGCATCCCTTGATAATTTAAGAATAGATGTGGGTAACATATGTCCCAAAAACAAGCCCGGTCTTTCACAAGTATTATTATAATTGCTCCTAAACACCAAGTTTTTTCTTCTTTTAGGAACGAAAAATAATTCATGATTAATGAACAAAACTTGGATCAATGATTTTGGAAATGAGAGGTACTTCTGTAAAATCTTTGGGGCTGAGATGGCCAAAGATCAGTGGCAAAGGAATTTTATCAGGAGGGAGAGTTTTCAAAAGTTTAAATAATCATTTATCAGCATCCGGGAAGTACTTAGTACGTATTTTGGCAATGGCTCATTTTCAGATCGGGCTTTTTTCAGGGTGGCGTGTGAAAAGAGTTCGAGGTTTTACTCGAGGACTATGCAGTCCTTATTTTCTCGGAGAAACGACAGCAATATTAGCCATAGCTCTTTACGATAATTTGATTTTGATGCCTAGAGTGGCTGGAATCAGAAAAGAAGAAACGTCCCGAGGACTCGAATTAGACGCAGTTCAGGGGTTGCACGAGAAGTGCAGGGTCACTTGGGACGCTCACATTGTCATCAGGAGGCTCTTCGAAAGTGCTCGCCTGGATGGAGTAGGCGACGAAGCACAGAATGGCCCCTATCCACAGAAGAAGAGCGAACCCGCCGAAGAGATTCTTGCAGAATTTGACCCATTCCGGCACAGTCGGGGGCGGTGTGAGTGCGTTGAATCCGTCTCGCTCAAGTCGTAACTTGCCCTCTTTGTCGCTCAGACCCTGCAAATAACAGGAATGCGTCATTAGGAATTTGCAAAACGAAGATTTGTGAGTGAGGGATGTCTGCTTTCCACGCGGATCATAATAAGTTGAACATGGAACTACGGTACTTCTGAAAGCCTAGCATGATGATCAAAGCGAAGGCATATACTCTTGGTTCATCTTTCAATTTTAGATCTAATTTCCTCCCGATTTTGTCAAGAAAATAAAAACCATAGCAAAATCTTCCCCGAACCCTACATAGTTAGCTGCTATTCCTGCACACCCATGCATTACTGCTGTATTTTGGACAGTGCCAATTTCTTCAGAAACTTTTGCAAATCTTGGGCAATACTATAGATGCTCCCCCCAAATATATTCAAGGTTTCGGAAATGAGGAGAAAACAATTGAAAATAATTGAATGCACGAAACAAATTATCCAACGTATCCATGTACATTCGTTTCTCTTGAATAAATACGGAAATAGCGCATCCCTCATATATGTATTGATATGAATATTTCCCTATGGCAACATCAATATGTGACTCCCGCAAAAATAAAATAGCCAACGTAGCGTTTTTCGCGGATACAAAATTCTGGCTTTTCTGATATTCGATGCAATCATTTTTTTCTCTACCTGAATAAAAAACGTGCTACGCATTTCTGATAAGTACATACATATACCGGACCGTTTCTCCAAATTGTCTACTATGCATTAATCATGATTAACTCGAAATAACATGTATCTCCCATTAATATGGATCATTAAGAAAATTGTATCTCCTTACTGCCCAAAATTTCAATCTTGAACATAGTAGTGCTGACTTAAAAAACGAATTTCTAAAAATCAAGTGAAGTACCGTATTCATTCTATGAACGGGAGGAACAGTCTTTATATTCTGTAAGACGAAAGACAACTCAAACTAAGTTATAGATACTGCACTAAAGCATTTGCAGTTCATAACGTGTCTGCCGTTGATGCTTGAAGACGTGCTATATAGAAACGACAAAAAGTTCCACCCAAGCCGAGTTAGTAGGTTAGAAAATACGAGTAATTTTATTCTTCGAAATAGAATTCTCCGTCACTGGGCAAATACAAGAAATGTTTAAAGAAATTGAGTTGCGAAATATGCACTTCTACAAAATAGTGCAAGAAAAGGTGACTCACACGCTCGGGGTCAACTTGGAAACGGCGATAAAGCTCCTCAAGGGTAACTTTGTGAACGTCGATCTCCAACTCCTGCTTCAAAGCATTCAAATCCCTTCCCGATTTTTTGCCTTTCGTCATGATTCACAGATCTAAATTCTCAAAGAAAAAGTCACAGCTTCCCCTTCCTCCACGCCTTGACAGTCATTCACAAAATAACCATCGTCATGGATCACTCAGAAGTTCATATGCCCCTATACTTTTTTCGTAAAAGTCGTGCTGGAGAAGACGTCTTCTTATCAAGCACTGTAAGATTTCTGGAAAATGTTCCGAATGCAAACGTCCTTGGTTCAACCTTCCCAGGAATTGGGTATTTCGCAAAAAGTACCAACCCGCAATGAGAAGAAATGCGAAAAAATGCAGAGCGAAGTACGAGAAATCGGAAGTGTGGATTCATCGTGGAAATATCATGTACAGTACGAATTATTCTGAGAGTGACGTTTTTTAGAATTATTGATATTCTAGAATATATCCATGATGCACTGAAAAATTTCATGATCAATTCGAGGTAACAGGTTGCTTTGTCAATGATAGGATGGAGCCTGGTAGGAATCTTGAATATTCCGCGAGCGTAGAAAATTACGATGCGACGGGAATGTCACTCCGCGTTATCATCTCGCTTTTCCGGCCCCTGATTTCTAGAAAAACTCCACGCCTTGGATAAAAAGGGAGGTTGAATACATTCGAGTCCGGGGAAGGAGAAGTTCTGACACGACTTCACCAACGTGCTTTTTTTCATCATAGAAATGATGGGGAATTATATTGGTCTACTTTTGAAGTCCGGAAATGAAACCCTAATGCGCCGAAAATTACCAAGTACCTGGAAAGACTGGAGGTCACGAAACCCCCGAGTCACAATTGTCGCAACCCGGATCGGGAACCACGCGTTCGACCGGGAAATAATGAGAAGAGAAGTTGCCTTCTCCATCAGACACCTCTTGAAGATATCCCTTCATTGCTCCAAGCTTTCCCGACTGCCCTTCTTCCATACCCCCCAATTCGGGTTTTATCTCGCCTTGGATCATCACCGCTCTGTGGGTTCACGCGGCACGAGCTGAGGAACACTTCTCGCTCTATAGAGACGAAACCCATTCCAAGAAGATGACGTATTCTTGGGAATGAGATGTCTCGATTTTCGCGGAACTGAGAAATAATGCACAAGACAAACCCTCCGCGGATGAGACCTTATTTGAATAGTCCGTATGCTCCCCCACGAGTGTCCAATTTTCCGCACGAGGAAGTACCGTATATGGCTGGCTATTTTGCACACCCAGGGCTTGAAAAAGTTAAAGAAATATCTTTAAAAGATCTACTGACGATAAGAGCGAAGAGATCTGATTACGTTTCAATGCTAGGGAATTTCCGCGCAATCAAACCAGCCAAAAATTGAATTTTTTCAACACTTTCGAGCTATAAATCATGGAATTTGTGTCGAAAAGATTTTTTAAAAATTGAAAAAGGATAACGAGACAACCGAAAGTCTTTGGCATTGGCATCCAGGGAAAAACAGAGATCTTGACATATTTTCCCCACGAGAACTCACGTCGGATGTCTGGAAATGTTTTGAAACTAGGAACCTCTTATTTTTGCATGGTAAATGAGAGAGATGATCGGAAGAAGATTGTGACACAGGCCAGAAAATTATTCCTGTTCATACACGGTACCGTATTGTCTTTTTTTTATCATGATAGTGAATGGATCACACCCGGATTCGCCTTAGAAATTCAGATCATTTCCCTCTCCAGCACTTTAAAGCTTAAATCAAGAATCATGGGATGATATTTGGACGTTGCTCAAGTTTTTAATTTCCCACTTCAGCTTCTTTTGACCCACATTTAACAATACAGTAATGGTATTCAGTAAATATAACTGCCCGAAAAATGCACTTTTCTATATTGAGTTTCGCGTCCTGTTTATGATTTTTCTGGCTATGCGTATGTCGTAAATTTCCGGACGAAAGAATTCTGGGATAAAGTAACAAAGCCGTGGGCTATCTAGACCCGGCAGATCATACCATCCCTTTATCCGTTACCAGGGTTCCACGGAAAATTGAACCAGCTTGTCTGTGTCATGCACATTTGGGAAAAACACCAGGCACGTATTAAATTCATTTAACTGCGTTCGAAGCGCGACTGGCGCGAGTCTGTATTAATTCAGAGAGAAAATGGGTTGGAAGTGGCAAGTAAACCGCGGGCCAAAACGGCCTCGTGTTTTCTAGCTGTCGCTGTTCTGTAAAGTGTGAAGTAACAATCGGACGACTGTCTTTTCGCTCTGCTGCGAAAAGAATGCTGGCAGTAAACCGCGGGCCAAAACGGCCTCGTGTTTTCTAGCTGTCGTCCTTCATGAAGCAAGTTTGAATCAGCAAATTATCATGATTAAATAATAATCGAACCTCGATTGCGTGTCTCGAATTTTATTAACCTTGAGTTTAACTTAGTGCCAAAACAGGGGTCCAAAAGTTCTTGAAGCTTTTAGCTTCATGGGCATCACAGATGCACTAATCATCAGAATCTAAAATATTGTACAGGTAGATTTTCCCTACAAGGAAATGCAGGGGTGTAGGAAATATCGCTGCAGAGAGAATTCCGTTGTAGAGAACACCTATGCCATGGATGGTTACTTTAGACGGCACAACAAGAAAGTCTTTACGCAGAGAAAATCGTCGTAGACAAAATCGTGGTGGACAGAGTCCACCTGCATTTTAAATTCTCACGTTACGTGAATTTTCGGGGATTTCGACAATCACTCTAGAAAATACAAAGCAATCCTTAAAAATCAACGCGAACTCGTTTTGCTTCATTCTAGTTTTCTTGCTAAATTATACTCGATTGTCGGCTAGGCAAGAGAAAAACATCCGAACACGAAACCTGATGATCGATGATCGCCAATGTGATGAACCTTTGAATAAGAACTATGCGTAGACTTCTTTCCGCATTTTCTTTAATACCCAAACGAAATCCTTGTTCGTTAAAAATGTGTGTGAAAGCAAACTTGAAAGATTGCTCCCAATTGTGTTTGAGAAGTGACAAAAAAATACATGGGAAAAATCGGACGAAAAGGTGATGGGACCATATGATTGCTCTTCAGATGCGAGCTTTATTGGATCAACCGATATTTGCGGCTTCCGGATAAATGTTGATTCGAGATAAGAAATACAAACAACCTTATCGTCCTCGAGAACAGACTCATCAAAAAGCGCGTCAATTATGAAGCAGCTACTCAACATTTATTCGGGCTAAATTCGCTTTCTTTCCGAGCTGCCGCATGTTTTTCCTCCGTCGTGGCCTTGAAGGAAAAGTCATTGGTAATATGAGTAGGACGTACTTCACGGACTGTTCGGGGAAAATAGCAAGGAAAGCACCAGTGGACGTGTTCAGTACCTCGATTTTTTTCCCCTGTAGAGAACCTGAAGTACTGTTCTTTCACCAAATTCCTACTCAAATTGCACTGCGGCGTACATCACCATTATCATCATCATCATTACTTTGATTATACTCGCAAGTTATTCAACCTTAATGATTAAAATGATGAAAACTGGCCGTGTCTTTTTTATAAAACAAATCTGACCCTTTTCTTTAAATTACTGTAATTCACGTTATCTCTAGTAATGAAAATTTCATTTAAATTTTAGTCGTACTAAAATAACGTTTAGAAACGAAAATTTGGTTTCAAGGTAACTTGAATCTTGTTTGAATGAAAACCAGTCAGCATCTGTAAGGTGAACTAATTTTATAGGAGGAATCTGGGGTTTGTTTAAAGAATAATGCGCTTGAAATACGAGGAGCTACAACTCATTCGAAACTAGAAGGTATTTTAAACGTGAGTTATATATTCAATCACTTGTTTAATGGACTTCGAAACATTTTTCAATCGCATTATTTCGTTCGATTGAGTCGTAGCCTTCGAACTTTCCGAAATCCAAACGTCATCTTAACGAACTATAAGTTAAACCTTTCGACAAAGCACCTCACTGAATTAATGTAGAATATACATGAGTTGTTTGCTTTAAATTCTTTTGACGTTAAAACGCAATTCATGCTTCACAGAAGAAGCATGGACTGTAGAAGATAGAGTATTTTGTAACTCTGTAACGTAAAAAAAAGAAAATTTTATCAAATAATATTCGGTAATCTCGTTTAAAGAAAAACTTGGGGTGTATAAGCAAAGTTTTTCTCCTTCAAAAATTACGTAAAAATACTGGAAATTGGCTTTCCTGTGCGAAAAAATCTGAAGTCTTCCTCAGAAAGTTCTTCGTCCACCAAGATGGTAAAATAACACAGCCTGACTTCTTATTAGGCTGCCACAGTGACACGTATCGAAAATTACGACGAACATTTAGCTCCGACAAAATCCGATAAGCGGCACTTTTTCATAGTTCTGGCCTTCTTTGGAAGGATTGAAATTTGTACCTCGTTTTCTATCTGAACTGAACGACACACGTCACTACGAAAAAAAATACACACACATGTATATACTGTACATCCATGCCGGATATTGAAAAAAAAGTCACATCTTTTCCTCCATTCTCCCTTTCATACCCAGATTCCAGTTATTCGTAGTGAGAATAAAATGTCAATCCTTGGACGTCCATTATGATTTACGAAATATTGTAATTGTGCCGTTCGCCATGAGTATTTCGTCGCTGGCAAAGTATAGCAGCATGCACCTTCGATTGTGACGCGGCGAACTGCGAAAATAAAGTCGGACCAAAGAGGAACCCATGACACTCGGTACAGACACGGCTTGTTCCTTGAATCGATTCAGAAAGGGAAGAACAGCTGAGAAAATCCCCTGGCGCGTTGCGATCGTGGCGTCGCGACGACACTCGACGCAGGCCCTGCAGCTCCCGTCGGCCTGAGTTTCGACGGTGGACTGCTGTTGGGAATGCGTCCGTTCCTCGGGTTAACCCCGCTGCGAGAAGAACTTTTTTGCCCATCGCCTCCTCAAGCTTCTTCGACGCATCAGGGAGAATTAAATGATGCAAGCGCTCCAATTCACAGCATTATCTGCCCCATCGAAATCCATTTAAGCATTCAGAAAACCTAAACGGTATTCAGGGCATACCGATTCAAAGACGAATATTTCGTGGCTTCTAATCATGTATGCGAGGTTGTCAGAGTTTATGCGCTGCGAACCTCGCCCGAGGATCAGTCAAATTTTGAACGACTAAGAATGCTAAATATAGTTTTTAAAAAATATATAAATATATACTTATTAGTGGAAACGTACCACACCTGCTTTTCGTCTACTTAATACACAATGTCCTTTTCATAGCGCGAAGTGTTATAGTGCTCATGCTTTGATTCGAAAATTCCAGAAAATATCTACGGAAATCGTCCTCCAATTTCATATGGCGAACTACGAGCGTGGCAAATTGAACAGCGTTCGACACCTTCTGTTACCTTCCTGGACAGCTTTGATTTCGGGATGAGATGAAATTTCTCAAAGCATATTCAAAGTCATAGGTTCATTTTTTT